TAATATAAAATAGATGTGTATTTGATTGTGTATTTATATACTAATAAATTACATTGAAATTTACGCCGCCGCCGTCTCTCCCACTTCCTCGTAATCCTCTCCATCCAAAGGTTGTCTGTAAGAGATCGCTTTTAGCGATAATGCCGCCCATTGTAACACTTGATTTAAATGGCTCTGTATTTATTGTAATGTTTTCTGTGGTGTACAATAAAATGTTTTGTATTGTATTAGTAGTATAATTACTCTAAGCCTTCAGAGATAGCGAGGCCAGTGTTTATGTGCGATTTTGCGTAAATACAACAATTCACATCAATTAGTTAGTTCCACACTAAGCTGACTTTGGAATTCGCATAATATATTATGTAGTAAGATAAAGGAAAAATAATGACGATTATCACTCAAATTAATTCCCTTTCCTAAATTTTAACCCAGGATCTTTGGAGAAGAAGGCAGGCGTTAGTGGTGCACCACCAAATCCTAACCGCGTATTTTTTTTTCTTTGACGAGGTCCGCTAGGTTTCTCCATAGGCTGGAATTTGTTACCAAAGGTAATGTGTAATTCAGTGTTCATTACTGCCATTTAAGCCGTTGGTCGAGTTTGCATATGCAGTCGTTAGCACCCACCAATCTGCATTGGAATAGCATGGTCTGATCTTCCTATTCCATTCACGGGGAGCGCCTGTGCTTCAGCAGTGGAGACATCAACAGTGATGGTGCTGATGGTGATGATGATGACGATGAGTGCTATTTTACCACTCCAGATAGCACAACTTCGCCATTGCTATTGAAAGCTGTGTTACCGACTTCGGAGAAGCGACTTCGAAAAGGAGATGGTTGCCAATTCGATTGATTTTGTTTTAATATAGTAAATTAGAAAAATCACCAGATCAGTGTTAATATAAAGTACATAGGATTAATAAAATCAAGCAGGCAGTATTTTTTATTGAAGTGAGTGTAAGGTGACGGGAATTGCGTTAAATAATTTGGGATTTAATTAAAGCCTCCTTCTTTGATATTGCCGTATTGAAATCCCTTAAGAACCCTATCAGAAACAGAAAGCCCACGACATGTTAATTCGGGATTTGACATGTACCTATATAGATGGGTTCACTTCATATACGTGAGGTTAAAAGTGCTTCAAAGATGAGGTCCACCATAATAATTCGGTTCATCACAATATTTATTCAATTTTTGCACGTGTTAATTATATGTATTGAAATGGCCTATGTGGTCACACAATATACCTTGTTGCCGAGTATGAAACTTGAAGCTTAGATATCTAATCTTAGATGAATATAAGTAATTAGAGATAGGTTTCTTTAGGTTTCCGAATATTTCCCTGTCCGTTGATGGGCTTTCATTATTTGCAATGGAAATTTATCAGCGGGCATATTCCTTTTTTTTTCTCTCAAGGCCAACATGGAATGTCTTACAGTGCATCTATACATGCCACCGGTTTTTAGCCAGCCTTGCCACTGACTTAACCGCCGGTTTTGTGGCCGTCCTATAGTTGCTACGGCTGCAATTTTCTCAGTAGTATTTCGACTCTCATCGAAGTTTGTGGTATAATAACGATTGGAATATGTTGGAGTATAATATTATTGCGTGTTTTGCATGTATTCTGTAAGTCATTATTCATGTTCATAATATGTAGCTGTATTCAAACTAATAAAGTAAAGAGGTTTTAAGTTAGTTTGTAGCAAGTAAGGTTTAGAACTACTGAACCGATTTTGGAAGCTCTTTCATTGGTAGGAAGCTCCCTCTTGAAGTCTGAGTTATATAAACTATGCTTATAAATTGACTTTGCCTATAATTAATATTTAAACAAAAACGAGCTAGTTTTGGAATAAAAATACTATGTAGGTATAATTAAACCTCTACCATGGCACACTTGGTATTACTTCGACATAAGGCATTATTCAGCGATAGCATAATATTGCTTACACTACAAAATAAGGAAAACTTCTAATGAAAATGAATATACAAACGGGCCATACGGGAACTCGGATATGGGAATTCTTTCATGTGCTCATTCGAAGAGTGCGTGAGTTAGTATTTATCACTAAATCAAAGACGATGAATACCTACCTACTGAGAAACAATGTCAGTTAACAAAAAATAAATAAAAATAAAATTATTCTAAATAGAAGCTTTTATAGTTAATAAAAAGAACAAAAAAGTTAAAAATTAAGCCTGATAAAAAATTTACCATATTATTTGCAATTGAGCCTAAAGTCATTGCGGTTACGTCGTTTTATATCAAAGATCCTATGGCCACCTACCAGCTCCATCATCAAACCCTGGATACCATCTAAAGACAAAATACTTATCAAGACGACTCAAACGAGCCCAACTTTTATGGGTTGCGTTGTTTCATTACAGAGTTCATATGGCCACTTTCCAGCTCCATCATCAGACACATTTACTATATTTTATTTGTTATCACACTTAAATGCCTTTCAGGAGAAACGGTTATCAAGACGTGGTCGAAAATTTTGTAAGAGCACATCTTTACATACGTACGTATAATATTATCTATATACGTAAAAATAACGTATATAGATAATATTATTATAGTAGATCTTACTTAAAAATAAATTAATAGTTTAAAAAACTAAAAACACGCTTTTATTTACTGCATTAAAAAGCCAATAATAAACGAAATATACTCTCTGTTTATAATTTAACTATTAATTTATTTTAGTCTTTATATTTTCAGTCATCAAAAAATATAAAAAGAACATGTTAAGATGAATCTAATGAGCCCAAACTCGATATGTTTACTGGTAGGCAGCCCGGGGTTCCATCGGCTACCTTTATTTACTTTCCAGTCCCATCATCAGAGCAGCTCAATGGTACCATAATACTGTATTGTTATCTAATCTACGTATAATTGCCAAGTTTCATGATGATACAAGAATAAGAAGTGCAAGTTATTCAGATTCTTAGATTCCATTACATAGTTACGTAAATGTCGACTTTTAACACGCTTTTATTAAAGCGTGTTAAAAACTCCGTTTCGCGATTTCACTTGTATAGGATCGTCAGCATCTGACATGTTTTATTAAAATTAAGTTTGTATTGTTGTCGTGTTTGTGAATAGATCAATGGCACAGGTGGTTAGCTCATTTGGCCTGCAATTGTGGAAGTCAAGCAACTTTTACAATGGTCGGTCATTGGATGACCGCCGTTCAGTTCAGTTCTTTGTATGCTGCACTGCACACTTCTACTACTACTACTATAACTTTTTACTGCAATGCACATTAATCGGAATCTTAACGTTATGGCCTCGCCTCGGGACCAGCTCCCGAACCACGCGGTGCGGTGCGGATCAACTCTCCGTACCCTATCTTACCTCTTTTAGCCACGCTCCTCGTGCCTTACCCTCCGATTCAAACTAATTTAACGTAATCGCCTCGCCCTCTCCTTGTAGTGGTAGGGAGTTTCATACAAAGAACACTAAGCGGCTCGAGTTGCTACGGTCATAATTCCTTTCCAATTGATATGTGTGCTACGTCGTCCTTTTAGATTAGAGACGGACGAATGGACGGTTCTGCTGACGGTACACAGAACTCTAAAATATCCATATGCTACATAAATGATCAACATACTCGTAGTTCCGTGCAAAAAAAGTATGTAGTAGCAAAAGTGTATTTAAAAAAAATCTATTTTTTATAGTATGCTATTTTTTACATGTAGATTACATGTAAAAAATCGTAAATTACTTTGGTGTGCTTTTATTTACTTTGGTGTTTTGTCGAAGCTGGTATAAAATAGTATTCCAATGCTTTGAAAGCCTATGTATAAGAGTTCGGCTCGCACTTAACTGTTTTTCGAAATATTACCGAAAAAACGAACGAGGTTAAAAATAAATTTCTACTAATTTATTAAATGAACCGTGTAATCAACCACGAAGAAAAAACTAACGCAGTAATTTCGAGCGACTTCTTTTGTAATATTTTTTCTTTGATGTGAAAACCAAATTGTTTCACCGTTCTGTGTTTTCAATGACAAAGTATATTTTTTCCTAATCTCTTATCTTCATCATTAACATGTTTCGACATTGCCAAAACATCGTGATTTTAAGAAATATCTACTTTAAATATTGACAGAAGTTAATTACGTCATAAAGCATTTGTTTGCAAATAATTAATTACCATCTAATTTAACGGCTTTGCTACCTTTAACTTAAATTAGTCATGGTTTTCGATATCACCATCCATCTTATGCAAGGAATGTTGCAAGCTATGGCCAGTTTTGAGATATGATGCTTGAAAATATTGTTTTAATGAAAATATTTTGTGAAGTTACGTTACTGGAGATGTTTGAAATATATATGTTTTCGGTATACACATAAAATATATAAATAAATAAAAGTTTCCTAAATATTTCATGATGCAGAGCCAATTTAGGAAACGTGGAAGATAATTTCTCGAGTTCATAAATTTCCTAGGAACGATATAGAGGACACTGTATGAAATATAACACGCAGAAAAGCAGTCCTTACCGAGTTTCTTGGCGGTTGTTCTCAATATTTGCAATAGCAAAATTTACAAATAATCATTCCATCACTCTATAGGTTTTGTTATATTATTTAGTATTCCTTGACAATGTTTGTAATAAAATTTATTCAAAACATGCCCTGACGTTATATTTCCCAGGAAATCTGTATAATGACGGACTACGTACGTTTTCGGTCATACTTATGTAAAAACATTATTGTGATATTACCCAAAACATCTATTAAATTAGATTGACAGAAGACTTTCTAAATCATAGGATCGTAATAATAATGTGATACTCATAGACTTGTGCTGGTAGTTTATTACAAAACAATCCTGTGCCGTGGTGTAATATACCTACTATTTACTGCCCTAATCATCTTTAATGAAAACATTATATCCTGTAGTATTAACAATTTATTTACAAGTAACTAATATAAAAGCTGCTTCTTATAAAAATAATTTTAAATTATTCGAACTCTCATAAGTGTGCTTCACGAAATCTCTAACAATTTAGCAAGACTTCAAGTTTCCAGTACATTATTAGGTAATTACAAAGTGATTTTATCGACGAAGTTTCTCGAAATTTGATTGCAATATAAACTCTCTTAACAAGTTTCGTTACGTGCGAAGATATGCGAACATAATACAAGCAACCTACATTTCGACAGATAACTTGGAAATGAAAGACCAAAACTTTGTTAACAGTATGGCATCAATTTAATAAGTAAGCTAGAATTTTATAACAAGAATTAAGTGATATGTAAATTTTCTAGCCAAGGGTCCACTTTCCTTTTTACGTATGTAACGCCATTGATACCGAGGCCGAAGGGAGATTTAGACGCAGTGCGTAAATAATAAAGTCCCCGGGCACTGCTCGATGACCCGTACCCGAGAATGGCATAATCATTTTTATCACACGAGTTCTTCAGAAATTGATCCCAATTTTCGCACTGCACACCCACAAACGATTTAGGAGTTCGGATACTTTCTATATACACTTGAGCTGCTCGCAAATGACTACAGGACGGCATAAAACAACCAGGCTGCCCGGGTCCGCCTCCGTTAATATAAAAATCTGCATGCCCCAACGGTTCTATCACTCCTTGAAGTAGCCTGTTTGAATGTACAACGTCCACATACACGGCGTCTGTTTTATCAAGCCTCTGATCGCTGTATGCGTAAGAGAAGCAAGGTCCTGCTGGATCTAATCCTGTTATCCGTCCTATACTGCGCGCTTTATACTGTCGGAAATATTTTCCGGCCCATCCAGCGATATGAGCACCAAGACTTATACCGATTATGTGGAAATCTTCAGCATTTGCTCCATAATTTTCTAAATTAGCTAACAGGTTTCCAAGCCTCTTTCCGACTAGGCGAGCATTGTGGACGGATAGCACATACCACTTGTTAATCATGTCCTCTGCATCCACCAATAATACGTTAAACATTTTCTTTTCGTTATAAGCATGCGCCAAATCCATGGGAACTTCAGATAGTGAATTGTCCTTGTATCCATGAACGATAATCTTTGTTTGTTTAGTAATATCATATACTGACGGCTGGGTAAGTGCTACATATGCGGAGTCAATAGGAAACGTTTCCGTTTTATCGCCTTTTATATGTATTATTTTCATAGTCTTTATAAGCTCTTTTTTGTCATTCATGGCGTTATATCTAAGATCCATTATTGCTCTACCTGCAAAAATATATTTTAATAAATATTTCATTTATATCAAAATAACAGAGTACCTACTCAATGTTAAAAACCTGCTCATTTAACATTGAGTACCTACTCAATGTTAAATGAGCAGATCCTCTGAGACTGTAAGTGAATTAAAAAATATGTCATTATGAAGCAGGACAAAATTATTTAATACCGGACACACGGTAAAATGTTATTCACGATTTAAGTAACATGTTAACTTACAAGCGCTCGAAAGTTTCGCATAAACGGTTTCGGCGAAATTGAGGTTACTCTCGGTGGTAACGGCCGGTGCGGTGTTCGCGAACGCTGCGACCAGCTGATAGAGTACGAACACAATTGGCACTAACACGCGGTAGTGGTGCATGGCCCGAGCCCTCGACCGCTAAAACGGTCACTGTGTCACTGTCCGAGAGAAAGGACCGAGTGCGGCTGCACGCTGACCGGGTGGGGGTTATCTGGAGCGAATTGTGTACGGTGCACCACATTATCACTGATTTGTCATATTGTCAAGCGTGTTTCTAAATTGCAAAATGTAGTTAATGTTTGAGTAACATTATTTTCTAATTGTACTTGAATACAAATATACAACGTCAACGCGGCTAGCGAGAAAACAAGAATCGATAATACACTTCCGGACACATGTATCGACCCACTTAGTGCTTTATGTTTAACGGTCTGTAGCAAAAATATAATATGTTGGGTTGAGCAATAATAACATATTTTAAAAAACACGAAAAAGATGGTTTATAGATCAGTTTAAAACTACGTAAAACCCTTTTGCTCAATGTAACATTTATTTTAGCTGGGTACCGTCAAAACTTAAAATGCTAGGTGCGCCGATAGATGTGTCTGAGAGAAAATTTCTACAGGTTATATAGATAGGTATCCTACAATGTATTGGAACAAATATTGTTTAATTTAATTTTAAAACGCAAAATGTTGGTATTCTGCTACTGTCATTTAACTGTAACTGTAAAACTATAAATTAAATATATTATATTGAGTACGTAACCGTCCAAAATTGGCAATTTCTCAACTTTAATCCAAACCACTTCAAGTAATATCGAGTTTGAAATTGATCAAGAAGACGCCTTATGGTGACATAATGTGATATATTCAAGGGCACATTAAGTCACCACTACCACCACCACCTCTATACATCTACAAATACTTAATAGTTAATATTATAAATACTAGCGGCCGCCTGTGATTTCGTCCACGTTCACTTAAGTTGTTTGAGAATCCCTCAGTAATAAAAATTATCCTTTGTCTCAATCCAAGTACATAATAAACTATATTTATGTGTGCCAAATTGTTCAGCCCTTTTTCGATTTAATCAAACCCGGCCGTGTAATACTCCCCAGTGAAATTTACTTCCCCTTTTCACCCCGTTAGGGGTAAAGTTTTAAGTAACCCTGATATATGTTATTCTTCTTTTCAGGTCTCAAAAATAAGCTTCGCTTTTTAAGTTAATTGAAATGTGAGTTAATATTCATTTATATAAAAACGTGGGTAACCTCAAATTATGGGATTAGGCAAACCAAAAATGGAAAACTATAATTTTTTTAGATAAGCCTTAAATCTAATAACTCAAAGAATAAGATTTTTTATACAAACTTTCGTAACCTTTTTTATACACTTATGGATGGATTTTCGAAAAACCCTGATACAGTTTGTTCTTTAATAGCGGCAGGCCCGCGACTTCGTAGGCGTGGAGTTAGTTAGAAATGAAGGTTCACTGCTCGTTCCCTTTAGATGATGGCGTGATAATATGTAGCCTATATATTGACCCGACTTCTTAGTAATATTCGTGCCAAATTTGAAGTAAATCCATGTAGTACTTTTTGAGATTTTGCTTCATGAAAAAAACAGACAAAAAATCTAAAAACTTTATTTTTGGCTTCGGTATCGATTGTAGATCACACACCAAGTATTCCTTTAAAAAATATTCAATGTACAGTTTTGACTTTAATTCCATTTAATTATATGTATAGATAATAATACACCTAGTTATAATATCGATACGTCTTAGTAGTTACAAGTTTTTTTATAAATCTGACGTATTATTTATTAAGTGGAAGTTAGAGCAATTATTCATGTCCACAATCCAACGCATCTATCCATCCAATGCAAATCTCCTCAAATACAAGGATTCCCAAGCAAAAGTTGTAACGTACCTCAGGGACAATTATTTTATTTGGCTTTAGGTTCCATTTTAGATCTTGTAATCATCATCTCCATCCAAATAGTCATCAATTTCAGCATACTACCCATTATTAATACGTATCTTTTATTACCATTCCTGGAAACGCACAATTTTAACAATATCACACACTATTTATCACTTTGTAAATACGTATCAGAATCGCAACTATTACAATCGCTATTCTATAATTGCTAGGCGCTTACCGGCATTTCTCAATATTCTTATAGTTATAATTACTTGTGTTGTTAATTAATTATTCTCATATTTTACTCTGATTTTCATTATTTTATGTTTACAAGTTTGGCTGACAGACAAATTTTTCATTGTTGTCATGGCTACCCATGACCCGGATACTCTTTCCGACTGACTCTATGCCTGACTAACCTCCACAGAATACCTATTTTAATAATTTTTAAGTTCCATTCGAACCTTATCTAAATTCCAGTTTAATGTATACTCTAAGTTCCGGACTTATAAAAGGCCGAGTCGCTCTGATCCTACAAGCATTTCTTCGGCAAAAGTTGCCAATGTAACTTTTGTTGGCGCGCCGAGTCTCTCCAAATCTCTAAAAGGCCTTGTCCCGAGGCCCGCTGCCCCGTGACTCAAGCAAAGACCTCAAAGCTGTACGGCACCCTTTGGCTCTCTAAACGTCTTACTTTACTCTACTCTTCTTCTACACTATACGTTCTACCTCATCGGCGGGAGTGCTGCCCGGTCTCCAGCTGCAACGTCTGGTCTTCAGTACCTTCAGCCCGCCTACCAGCTGCACCTGCCGTTCCACCAGCAGCTCCAGCTATTCTACCTCGGCGCCGGCCGACACACTAGAAGCGCCAACCGACATCCAAGAGCGCCGCTCGCTCAATATCTAGAGACGACCGACCAGGAGCGACCAGTCAGATAGTTTGTTTTGGGATACGTAAATGTGGGAGAACACAGTCAGTAACGGAACTTTCTGTCTAATCGGTCAGATAGAGTACGGTTTAGTCACCGGTGCTTCATGAAAATATTTTTTAGGGATAAGTAGAATAGTGATCGGCGGGAATCACAACAGAAAAAGGAGTTTTTATTTGATAAAACTGTTTTTGTACACTCATTATTTTCTGATATCTATTGTATGATAAAAATCAAAACGGCAGGTTCCTATTAGGGCTTTCAATCAAATGTTATTTATTATTATTTGTTATTGTGTCATTTATTTCATGACATAATAAGTTACACGTTAGTTAATGATTATTTTTAGACTTTTTTTTTGGAAATCCTTTGTTTTGTTATAAACCTATACCGAGTGTTCCAAGGAATTATTCTCCCATATCTCACCTTTCCCTGTCCTTCATAGGATCACGCGCGCTGGCCAACTTACTGTGGCCACTATTCCTACACGATCAAATAAATATGGTGACTCATTATTTGTATTACTATTATTTCGCAAGTGGAATTCGTGACTGCGCCCGTGTTTCCTCTTTTCTACAATCTGCGGTCATCTTAAAGTAACGTGATTAACTTAGACATTTAAAAATACGATAAATAAAACAGTTATCCCTTTTTTAAATTATAAGAATTTTGGATTTCTTTTTAATATTTGTAAGCCCTAGTTCATATTTCAAATAAAATACATAAAATTATAAAATTTGTTGTTTTATTTTTGATTATAAAATATACACTTACATACCACTGTATTTCAAAATTTCCAATGCATAAAATTATTTGAGGCAGTTAATGGTGTGTGCTAGTTATTTTCTCCTGTGTATAGCTATGTATCTGGCACATGGACAAAATATTAGCTATTCAGCTCCGAAGCACAACTCTGTAAGTACTATATTTCAAAATCTAGAATGATAAGAAAGTCCAATGCATTATTAAATAGAAAATAAAAAAAAATAGATGTGCATGCCAATTTTGAAATCGATAGCTGCAGCACTGGTGGAGGTAGAGCTGTTTTAACTTTCAAACGGCTCTTCTGTAAATTTGCTTTTTTCAGTTAGCGAATTATGCGTAGGACGTGTTGTTGTATAAAGCTCGTTTCATTTATATTTTAGTAAACTATAACAAATGCGTAGGTAATGTGTTTAGTTAAAATATACAATCGAATAAGTCCTCAGGGGATACATTTATATTACTAAAAGATTGCGCAAATTTTTAAGTCTAAAAATCACTCTAGGCAAACGTAGCTTATAATTACTAGATAGTAGACTGTGTATACTATTTTATTTGCTTCCTATTGCGCATGCCGTGTCATCCTATAACTAAAACGATACTAATTCTAGCATTAAATTGCTTCTGTAGCTATTAACACTGACATACTGTTAAGCTTAATTGGTTGTCTTTAAAAAAGTGTTGATATGTTAATGATTTCGTTTCTTCATGCGAGTATCGCATTAGCACATTAACATTGTTGGGGATTCTAGCCAACAACAAAAGAAATTTGTGATAGCCAAATAAAACAATGGATGAACTTGGTGTTATTTATTTTGAAGGTAGATATAGATATAGATAATACAATAACGCGTCAAGTTCATTTACACAAATTCAAACTCGCAAGTTGGGTAATGCGGTGTTGTTGGTATTAAGATAAAGTAAAAAGGTAAACAAAGCTGTATCCTAGGTACATAGCAACGCCTTATAAATAGAACATAACAATTATTAGTGCTCAACTACAACATATTACCTCAGTGTAGAAACTTACAGTGGTACAACGCCTTTGAAGTCTTGCGAAATGCCGCTTTTGTTAAGACATTCGTCATTGGCGCAGGGTGTCATATTTATAATATTGTTTTTTCATATAGTTTAATATCATATACTACTTACTACTATCTTTCCTACTAAATATATAAATTTGAAAGTTTGTATGTTTGTTACTCAATCACGCAAAAAGTACTGATTTTGAAAATAATGTTGTATTTGAAATCAGCACCTTCGGAAACAATCAATACGATACCCATATCGATTTTATTGTAAAAAGCGAGTCCATCATTTTGAATCTCGATCTTAATGTTAGATTCAAAATCAGCACCTTCTAAAACCAATAATTCGACACCCATATCGATTTTATACAAAAAGGCAAGTCCGCCATCTTGGATCTCGATATTAATATTGTATTCTAAATCAGCACCCTCGAATATCATGAATTCGTCACCCATATCGATTTTAATGAAAAATTCAAGACCGCCATCTTGGATCCCAGAATTAATGTTGTAC